AACACTACAGGTTTACGTCAAGCAAAACAACTACTGGGAGGCTACAACCTCACGAGGTACAGGGCAGTTATCAATCTATCCAAAGGAAAACTAAGGATCATAACAGGTTTTCTGACGGGTCACTGCTGACTGAGAGGCCACCTACACAAGCTAGGGATTTGGTCCAACGACCTATGTCGTTTCTGCGACGTGACCGAGGAGACTCCCGTGCACCTGCTTAGCGAATGCGTGGCGGTCGCGAGAAGACGGGAGAGGCACCTGGGCCACTACTGGCCAAGTAACGAAGCAATACAATCGCTAATCCCTGGGGATCTCCTCAAATTTTTGGGCTCTCTAGGATTAGATGAGGTACTGTAAATGGTTGAGGGCACAATAGACCTGCTGGTCGCAGTGCATGCCTCTATTAATTATCTATCTATCTAAGTATAATTTTTATCAGTTTTTTCATGCTCGCACCTACGCCTTTAAAGCGTCTGGCAAGATGAAGGAACTATCGAAACGGTCCGGCAAGTGAGGAAACATCTTTTGATTGTTCCCTAAGTGACATATAAAAATCAGCTTTTATACTATGACGAAAGTATAACTTAAATTTTTCATGGTTAAAGGGGGTCTGGCAAGGGGCAGGAACCATGCTAAGTGTCTGGCAATGAACGACGTGGTTTCTAATGTTATTACGGGTAAAATATATAAAAACTGACCTTTATACTATCCCGAATTTGAGGTGGTATTTTATACACCTTTACTACCTGGTACATGCAAATCCACCACTATCCAAATTTCATACCTCCTTTTCCTAGAACCCGAATTTTCGTAATTCGTAATTCGTAGCTACGCTACGAAAAACGAAAAATCCGCATGCTGCAACCCTTGCGGAAACATGTGCAGCATTGCCAGCTATCAGTTGTTTTTCGAAGAGAGCTGAATGAAGGAAACCAAAGTGGAAAGGAATTAAAAAACACTCATCATGTGCTTGGTTATTGTAAAATTCGTTAATTTTACATATTTTGAGGAAAATTATGGATTCTGATGTATTTGCAATTATAGCAGCAGAGTAAGCGGGCGCTATGGCAATGAATTCACACAGGTATGCGGAGCTGTCGGGCATAGTAACCATGGGCGCATCTATGTCAGCTTCTGGTTGAATTGTTGAACCACAAGCCAGAGAACTCCTCCTATGCCTGAAGCTCTGGTTCTCAATCCAGTTAATGCAATAACAGCTTCTTCCAAGCCATTGAAAACATGCACTTGTCCACCACCTGTTGCGCTTGCTTCTGCCTTCGGTCGCGCTTAGGGATTATAACCCTTACTAAATAGAATTTCCTTTCTGTGTTGCGGGGAAGGGCTTCCGCATGTCAAAGGTATACAACATTTTTTGTGCATGTCACACCGGAAATTTGAAACATTTATCTTAAATAAAATGTGAATCCTTTGATTACACGTGTATGTTAAAGTTTTTGGATTCGGGTTATGCGTTTGGACACAACAACCGAAAATCATTGTACAAATAACTAATCCGGACCCAAGTTTCTCAATAAGGGGCAACAAAGATTTTTTTTTGCTCGTTTATATAAGCAGTGGATAAAAATATACGTATATGCGAAAGGCAAATTTATCTGTTTAAATGAACACCACCAATATTTCTTGTAAACACACATCGATTTGCATCTTTTATTTCGCCTCCGACACAGAATTGTTTTCGTACAAAATTACGCAAAAAAAGCTTACTCGTTCGTTTTTAGGCATGCCATTGTTACGAATTTCGAAAGTTCGAAAATACGATTCGGATTGCAGCATACTATTTCTACGACTCGTAGCAAAATCGGAATACGAAAGAGTTGCAGAATAGGGGTGATAGTCTAGGTTTGTTATTACCTGTGTTGGGGCATACATAGAGAAGCTTTCAGCCTTTATAAAATAACGAAGTCGCGGGCTCTTGGGCTATTATCATGGTGAAATAATAATAAGGTGTTGTCAATTAGGGGGTGGTTGTTGTAATTTTGGCAATTTCGGCATACCAGCGTTACAGTAATGCCTACTCTATTCATTCCAATTTCATTTCTGGGCGATATGGAACAAAAAATGGAGCAGACAATTTTGTGAAAAAATACATTTTTACGCACGTATTATTTGCAAATAACAATTTTCAAAATGGTAAACTTTGCCGTATAAACGCTGAGTTAATTTTTTATTTGCAAATAACTAAATCACGCAAAAAAGTATTGATTAGTGGTATTATTTGCAAATACGCGCAAGACGCCGCCATCCTTAGGTTTATTTTCTTTTTCGATGGTCATCTTATGGCCTTTTAATAATCAAGACGTTGCCATTTTTAACTTCATTTTCTTTGCGAAAACAATTTTTCACCACCGAATAAACAGTGAGTTACGTATAAACGTAGTAACTGTTTCTTTGTTTCGCTTTTGCTTTGACTTTTCGTTTCAAATTCATTAGAAAATTTGAGCGATAATTTCCAATAATTGCGATTTTGTAAGTCAATTTTTGATAAAATATATACTATACGTATCCAACAGATTATTGGAGCAGTGCCTCAGATGGCTACGATAATGCACTTTGGTCTAACAATTTAAACGCATAATTATTTTATAATATAACTGATAGAATTCAGAAATTCAATTTTAAAATGTTAACGAAAATAAAGGTCGTAATAAAATTCCCTTTAAAGTTAAGATATTTAAAAACTAAGTACGCATATACATGTACTTCAGAAGTTAAGGAAAAAATACAAATAAAATTCCATACGGGCTAATGTCATTTTTAGTAGAATTTAAGAATAATTAAATAAAAAGAACGGTATAATTTAATTTGTTTTAATATGAATAAATGAAAGACGGAAAATAGTCCTTATTTTTTAAGTATTAACCATCATCATATGTGTGTGGTACGACTGTGTGGCCTTACCCTGCAAAAATCGTTGGACCATGTAGTCTATTTGTGGTAAATTGGAGTACTTACAAAAGTGTTCCTCTGTCATGCTGTAGCGGACCAACTCGTGTCTCTGCGGCAGCTTATTGTTTGTTATCCGATCACTGCTCGTGTTTTAACGAAACGTGATTGAAGTTGAGCATTTGAAAGCACATTTGCATGTCTGGCTGTAGCTGAACGTGTAGAGATGCTCGCTGTTA